TATAACCAGGCCACTTGGCCCTAATAAACCAGTCTGATTTACCCTTCATCAAGTCTTGGCTGATGCTTGGGGATACAAGAGCTATATCACATTTTTTCTCTGCGGGACTAGGGAGACTCTTCAGCAGATATACTAAGCGGAGTATAGGGGTCCGTTACATTGGTGGCAGTGGCGGGATGTTCTCCCTACAGTTCCAAAATCCCAAACAGAGCCAAAAATAAAAAGACCAGCAATAAAATAGACTACATTAAAGGAACTGCTGGAGGATAGAGGACAAGCGCCACACTCATCATGGAAATCATCGAATTTGTTATGTCACAAGTTGAATAACTGTGGAACTCAACTGCAGATTTGAAATTTCCTTATTTCTAATAGAGTGTGAAATGAAAATCCTTTAATTAAGAAAGTTACTGTAGCTTTAAGGCTGCGTGGATTTTGCAGGTTGTTAGTTGAAAGCATAAAGCAATAGAATAGTAACAGAGATGTTGATAACAGTGTTTTAGTAGCAGAGTTTTTTAGTAAGCAGGTTACAGTTCATTAGTAATGCAAAAACCCAGAGAAGGTATTGAAATGAATACTTAGGATTGTTGGGAGTTGTCTTCCAAAGGCAGGTTAGTTTGAGCCTGGAGGGTGGTTAAACTTCTAACAGTCCGGTTCTTAGAAATTGGAGAGAGCAGGGAAGTCAAATATTCGGTCCGTGGTCAGAGGAGATGAGAAGGCAGGAATCCATTTAAACAGTCCAAGGTTCGGTACACAAAACTTATCGAAGAAGAGCTTAGCCGGCAGTGTGATTGCGGAAGTCGCAAACAGAAATCACTAAGCAATTTTGAAACTGGCGCGGTTTCTCTATAAAGCTTGAGAGAGCCGCGTCAGAGAGGGGGCGGGGACGGTTCCGCATACCAGAAATGTCAGAACGGAGCCGATCGAAAAGATAAGTCCTGACAGAATTAATGGAGAGCGTCAGGACCTGCACAACTCCAACCGAGAGTTTGGAGGAAACAGAATTTCAGAAAGATGTGCGTTGGAGACCAAGTATCCTGAGTCCCAACCCAACCCAAGCAACCGAGGCTCTAAAGGCGAGAGAGACACGCTCAGGCTCATCGGTCGGAGATGCAGTTTCCCTACATGGATTGACAGTGGAGGACTGAAGAAACAAAATTAGGCAGCGTTTAAAACAGGGTTTGACAAATCCCAGATTTGCCAGCTCTTTAATGCGGCCGCCGAGGGAACTTTGAAGGTGGCCGCCCGCAGGAGCATGGAGGCAGCCACCCAGAGAAGCATGGAGGCGGTCAGCTGAGACAGCATGGAGCCAGCTGCCCGAGGGAGCAAGGAGGCGGTGCGCAAGGGAGCAGTACTCTTATTGCAGCTGCTCTCTGCTCCCTTGCGCTGTTTAATGATGCCGGGAGCCAGAATATGACATCACTCCGGCTCTGGCATCATTACAGAGAGCGATCAGGGAGAAGAGAGGAGCTGCAGTACTGCAGAAAGAGAGCAGCCCCACTGGACCCCTGGGAAAGACCCTAAAGGTAGGGAGGCTGAGTGGGTTTCAATTAATACAAAAATGTGAGTGTAAGCCTGTCAGAGTGAGAGTGAGCGTGAGCCTGTCAGAGTGTATGTGTGTGTGAGCCTGTCATAATGAGTGATTGTGTGTAGGTGTGCACCTGTCAGAATGTGTGTGTGCGTTTAGGTACCTGCCCCCTCTGATCGCATGAGGAAGGTGTTTTTACTCACCTTTTTTTCCCGAGCCGTGCCACTTTCGCTGCAGCTGGTACCACCTCAATGGCTGAGATTATCAATCTTTATGATCTCAGCTAAGCCAGTGGAAAGCATTGGGAGGATTTGGTGCATGCGCAGCTAATGTGCCAATCTCCATCTCCTCATAGGGATGCATTGAATTAATGAATCTCTATGAGGAACATTCAGCACCTCCATGCAGAGCTTGGAGACCCTGAACGTTGGTGCAGCAGTGACCCAGGACTCTCTAGTGGCCGTCTGAGCGACCATCACTAGAGGTGTTACTAAGCAGCAATGAAAACACTGCCTTTTTGCTGAAAAGGCTGTGTTTACATTGGAAAGCCTGCATGGTATATAGTCACCAGAACAACTACATCAAGCTGTGGAGGATCTGGTGACTATAGTGTCCCTTTAAGAATTGCATTTTTCTCGTTGAAAAGGACTGGCTCCTAACATTTTTAGCTGGCTCCTAGATTCCAAACAAATTTTTGAAGCCCTGGTTTAAAACATTCACTGATGGAGAGGAGGACATCAACACCTATGTCCAAGACTTTGAACGACAATGCGCTCTGGAAGGTTTGAACAAAGTGAACTAGGCAGCCATTTTAAGCAGCAAGTTGTCCGGACGAGCTGCCGAAGCATACAGAGCAGTACCCGACTCTGAGATTCACCTTCACGTAAAGGTCAAGGAGAAACTGCTAGCCGTGGGAATTAGGGAGTTCTCTACCAAGTGGCTGCAAGAGACGTTCCGAAATTCCAAAGTGCCGAATTTCCGAATTGTCGAGTTATCTACCAAAAGGCTGAAAGACCTAAATTGGTCTTTCAGCCAAATTTACTAATACTAAGTAAAAATTACTTAGTATTAGTAAATTGTGCCCCTACTCCCTATACCGCAAGTAGGGGCATGTCTATTAAACAGTGAGCAGCCTATGGCCCTCAGGGGTGGGGGCCAGGGGGGAGGACATTAGGTCGTCCCCTCATTCTAATTTAGGGCCCCCACCCACCGCTCAGGGGTGGGGGCCGGGGGGGAGGATATTAGGTCCCCCCTTCATTCTAATTTAAGGCCCCCACCCACCACTCAGGGGTGGGGGCAGGAGGAGGATGTTAGGTCCCCCCTAATTAGTTTTTAGGGCCCCCACCCACCGCTCAGGGGTGGGGGCCAGGGGAGAGGACAATAGGTCCACCCCCATTATTTTACTTTAGGGCCCCCATCCGCCGCTCAGGGGTAGGGGCCGGGGGGAGGACAATAGGTCCACCCCCATTATTTTACTTTAGGGCCCCCACCCGTGGCTCAGGGGTGGGGGCCGGGGGAGCAATAGGTCCCCCCCCATTATTTTACTTTAGGGCCCCCACCCGCCGCTCAGGGGTAGGGGCCGGGGGGGGGGCAATAGGCCCCCCTGGGGCTCGGGAGGGGGATCCAGTTTTTTTATTTTTTTTTAAGGCTTTTTTTAATGGCTTTTTATTTGGCCTTTTTTGGGGCTGAAAAAAGAAGATTTTAGGAGAAAGAAAACATCAACTGGTAAGTTTTCTTTTTTTTTTTCAGGTACTTAGTTAAATGGCCCCCCCTCATTATTTTTAGTGTGAGGGGGGTAGGAAGTGGTTAATTTTTGGGGGGAGGGGGATGACTAGGGGTTTTGGGACCCCTAGTCACCCGGGGGAGGGGGGGTTATTTTATTTAGGGCCCCCACCAACCGCTCAGAGGTGGGGGCCAGGGGGAAGACATTAGGTCCCCCCCAATTAGTATTTAGGACACCCACCCACCGCTCAGGGGTGGGGGCCAGTGGGGAGGACATTAGGTCCTCCCCCTCATTCTAATTTAGGGCCCCCACCCACCACTCAGGGGTGGGGGCCAGAAGGGAGGGCATTAGGTCCTCCACTTCGGTAATTTCTGAACTTCAGGACCTCTGTAATTTGGCACTTCAGCTATTCGGACATCCGGGTACTTCCGAATGTCCGAATAGCCGAGGTCCCCCCCAATTAGTATTTAGGGGGGGCAATAGGTCCCCCCTTCAGGTTAGGAGGGGGGACGTTTTTTTTTTGTTTTTTTTTACAGTAAGCAGCTATAGGCTGCTCACTGTTTAATAGACATGCCCCTACACGCGGTATAGTGAGTGGAGGCATAATTTACTAATACTAAGTAATCTTTACTTAGTATTAGTAAATTTGGCTGAAAGACCAATTTAGGTCTTTCAGCCTTTTAGTAGATAGCTCCCTAATACCGTGGGAATTAGCAAATTATCTACTTATTCATTCCTGTCATTACATTGACTGGCTAAGTAACTTACATTTTATATGAATGTATGTTACTTGATTGTTGTAAGTGTTGCAAATGCTTACAGCTGAATCCTGGCTATGTTTGTATACTTTTTATTTAAAATTGTATACAGTGTAACATTCTTCTTCTTACACTGGGTAAGTATATTAGTACTTTGGCAATACTGTGCTTCGGAACTTCGGAACTTCACTTCGACACTTCTGTAATTTCGGAACTTCGGGACCTCGGTAATTCGGCACTTCGGACATTCGGAAGTACCCAAATGTCCGAATCTCCTGAAATTCAGCCGAAGACATATTCGTCCCAAAACTAATTGCACATATCTAAATCGGAGAAATGTTAGCTCTCGGAGTAATCAAACCCTCTCCGAGACCATGAGCATTTCTGGTAGTGCTGGTACCGAAACAGTACGGTATGACCCGATTCTGTATTGAATACAGGAAACTTAATGATAGGACCGTGACAGATGTGTACCCCATGCCCAGGATAGATGAGTTATTGGATCGGATGGCGGGAGGAAACTACCTCACCACCATAGACCTGTGCAAAGGGTACTGGTAGATTCCCATGGATTCGACGGCCATCCCGAAGTCAGCATTTGTCACCCCTTTCAGCCTGTACCAATTCAGGGTCATGCTGTTTGGGATGAAGAACGCTAACTGGCCACAACACCGAATGAAAACCCAGGTTATGGCTTTCTTAGGGACGGACGGATACTACCGCCGGTTCGTACCACACTATAGCTAAGCCCCTGACTGACTTGACCAAGAAAAACTTGCCCTGCCAAGTCCTGTGGTCCCCGGAGTGTAAAGAATCCTTTCAAAAACTGAAACAAGCCCTAACCGAGGTTCCGGTATTAGCTGCTCCTGACCATTCTGTTACGGTATAACCCGGGTATCATGGGTTAATACCGAATAGGGAGTTCACCTTATTACAGGAATAGCAACTCACGAACACTTCAATTCACCGAACTGGATAATTATACGAAAGACCTCTCTCCTCGATACGGGACTAGCAGCTCATGAACACTCCAATTCCCCGAACTGAGAATCAGCCGAAATCCTTCTCTCCTGGAACAGGCAAAAGAATACTCCAAAGTAGCAATCCCCCCAAACACGAGACCAAGCTCCGTCTTGAGGGTAAAACAGGATTCTGGTTTATTGAGGGCTACCTGCCAGGTATTTATGCAGGTCTCCCACCTGGTGGACACTCCCCTGGGGGACCAGATGGAAGACTGGGACAAATGAGGTACAGTAGCCAATCACAGTGGCTCAGGTATAAACACTCCCCTTTGTACAGGTAAACCTCTCCTCTCTATCCTGGAGATAATTGGGAAGAAATCCAATTATCTCCAGGGATAGAGGCAAACTGCCATTTTACATGGTATAATAAAAACACATAAAAATCCATAAATGGAAAACTACCAAATGCATTTAATTCATATAACGTATCCCCAGATAGCCGAATTACTACCGAATAGCGCTCAGACCCAATGCACACAGTTCAATCGCCATGGAGTCAAAGTCTTTCACACTGTTCTTTCGGTATACGAATGACTCCATGGGATTGCTATGTGGGTTAAGTCCATTCATACAATAAAAAGTCCCGAACGGACCGGCGTTCGTATGCCTGATGATAAGAATCATCTGGCGTTCGGTAGAAAAGGTGTCCGGTTTGAGTTCCATAAGTTCATCGTCGAACACCGCTGTTCATTCGTGTGTTTAAAATGGCCGCCGCCTCGTGGTCGACATACGAACGATGACCACCCAGCATACGGTTCCAATCAAGAGGTTAACCACAACGTTCTAATTGAGGCCAATAGGTTAACCAGCAGCACACTGCTCTTTTGGGTGGCCGGCCGTTCGGTAGTTTTATTCGGTATAAACTGAAATACACGAACAGGGACGTACGGGCAGGTAATTCCACGACTGTATAACAAAATAGACGAACCAGCAGATAGTACTTAGACAGATGGATCTGTCACACATTCCAAACGACTTGTCGTCCATACTGTGGGGATATTTATGGGATGATAATATTAAACAGTCGAGTATTGCCCACTATTTAAATTCTCTTAGATCTTAGAGATCGTTATCATGTAAGTGAAATGTATTCCATACAAATAAAATCACAATTTGTTATAAAAATAGATATAATTTATTGTGACAAATAAAATAATAATAATATTAGGCAGCACGCATGATAATAATCAGTGAATATTTAGTATAACATAAGTATGCAATACAATGGAATGGCTATGCACGTTCCAATGGCTAACAGCATCAACTGTCAAGACTTTAGATTTATGAGGTACATCACACACAGAAAGTAAAACTTCACACAGCGAAAAGCCATAAAACCTTGGCTAACAGTTAAATCAACTGAGTAACCATTTCAATGCTGGCTAGATCCTCCTAGGCATATAATATCTTATTCTCATGTAATTTTCAATTAAAATAACATTCAAACCAGCTCATTAATCATTCCCTAAACCATCCAATAAGAATAATCTACCAGATTCTATAAGCCGAATTTTAATTTGCCTAAAAAGATTTCTTATCTTATTTAGAGCAAATCAATACACCTGGATAAAAACAGTGGTATGCTAACATGTGATGCTATTACATTAATATATAATTATTCTTAATTCCACCTGCAGAATGGAATGTTAATAACTATATATTCTTTAGTTAACTAAGATTTCTAATTATTGAAATCTGACCGTGATTTATCCAGTCATATATCATGCTATTAGATTTTAATTAATTTAGATTAATTAAATAAAACCAGCATAATAACCAGTTATGTAGATATTCTCATCAGATGAGTAGGAAGTCCCAGGAAAATGCGAGTATGATTGGTTGTATGGAGGTGTGTGAGTAATAGAGAAAAGTGGTGTTGTTTAGAAACTATCAGTAACATTCTAAGTGTCAAGGAGTGTTTCTTTTTTTTTTTTTGGAAATATGTTTATTCAGTTATTTGGAGAATCAGCAGTTAGAACAGTTTGAAGACTCGCAGGTCTAGGTATGCATACATTTTGAGTGTAACAGAGGTAGGAAAAACAGGTAATCAATGAAAGAAGGGGAAAAAAAATAAAATTTAATTTAAATAAGACCACCACATACCAAGCTTGCAGGCCTATGAGTCAGCTTGTTTTATGAAATGAGTGGACACGCAGGTCCGTATTGACTATCCAAGGTATATATCTAGTTACTCTTACCCCATAGTGAGAGACAAGCATATGCCATTCTTGTATGACAGTACAGTTCTGTCACGGTTCTCGCCACATCAAACAGACGGCTAGACGTGGTCACCCGTGGAGATCCCAACAAGGGACTTGAACCGGGGAACTTTGCAGTCCTGGTCCTGCTTCCTACCTCTGAGCCACAGCAGCTTTTGTATTCTGCAGTCATTCCGGTCCTGTTCATCCTGGCTTGTCTATCACTCTGGGGGCTGTACCTTGAATTTGGCTGTGCTGCACCTGAACCTGATCAGACATTAGCAGGGTATTTAAACTCAGCCTCGCCCTGTGATCAGGATCAAGTCTTTGATCCTGTTGTGTGATTTGTACCAGTGTTCCTGTTGTTTGAACTGCCACTTGTTATTGACCCCGGCTTCTGACTCGTTTACTCTGACCTCTGGCATCCCTTGACTTCGGCTACTCCTCGTTGTTCCTGTCTTCTGGCATCCTTTGACCTCGGCTATCCTTTGACGATCCTACTGTTTGAGTCCTTGCCTGTCCTGCGACTTGGTACTTCATCAAACCCGGTGGCATTCCTCAGTCGCAAGCTATTACCATGGGAGGTCAGCTATGCCACCGTTGAGAAGGAGTGTCATGGGCCTTCAAGAATCTTTAACCTTACCTGCACGGGTGCTCCTTCACCTTGATGACCAACCACAACCCCCCTGTCTGGTTAAATCAAGTGGCGGGGGACAATTCCTACTCAGATTGCTACTGTGAAGCCTGGCATTACAACCTTATAAGTTTATGATGCAATACCAGCCAGGCAGACACCATAACAACGCAGATTGGCTATCTTGACAAACAGAGCTAGAACACTAAGACTTAATCAGCTTTTCCAGACATCCCAACGCCGACCTGCCAGGGTCTAGCAGAGTATGCCGTACCAAGGAACTTGGGGGGAGTGATATAACAAACTGGCAATAGACTATGTGCTAAACTCCCTCCTAACAGAGGATAGTGAAGAATTCAAAAAAAGGCACAAAAAACAAAGACTAAAGGGTCAAACAAATGTTAGCCCGATAGTCAAAGGATGGACTAAATGGGTAAGATAGGGGCATAACCCCATATAATTAGAGAGACAAAGATAGATACAGAGTCAAGAGCGATATGAAAAAAGAGACACCAGGGTAACTCCGGGTGTCCAAGAAACATACCGCTCAGACTCAAGTCTTACCCATATATACAGTAACCAGCTCGAAAGGATGAACCAATGTAAAAGAAAAATATATATAAATGAAATACTTAACCTTTATTCGAATTACTACACAAAAAGAAAAAAACAACAATGTGAAAAAAATATATGTGCAAAAGTGTA